ATCTGCTAATGAGCATATGGGACTTCTGTCATAGTTATTGGATTCCNCAATGCACCATCTGCACGATATCTATCTAGCACTTATGAACAAACACCCTCGAACAACATTTTTGACAAGTTGTTTTCCTATCTCTATAGAACTGCAAGTATTGGAAATTTTAAATGTAGAAATTCCAATTTCTTGCAAATATCCCATTTAAAACTGCCCACAGCTCGGTTCTAAACTTGAAAATCAACAACAGCAAAATCCAAAACATAGTAGTACTAACATACTAAAACCACCTCTTTAGGATTGTTTTATGGCTTTGGAGCTCCAAAATTCTTGTTTTGTTTTTGTGGGTTGGAAGTAAGCTGGAAAGTGAGTGCGAAATAAATTTTTTCCTCAACTGATGGGTAAAAACCACAAGCAAACCAACTAGCTGTGACCTTTCAAAAAAAATGCAAAGACCAAACATTTCACAGGATTTGGAGTCTCACATTTCCAGCAGCACATCAACAGCTTCATTTTCCAACTCACCTTACGTTAATTCAGAGAAACACCCAATCAAGTCAAATGTCAATGGCAAGTCAAGATGTAATTTACCTACAATTCTCTTGCTATTATTCATCCTCACAAGTTTGGTGATGATTTTTTATTTTACATCCAAGCGAGGAGTTAGAGGAGAAGCTAGAGTATTCCCTGTCACTTATCTAGATGTCGATTTCACAAATTCTGAAAATTTAAAACTCAACCGAGTGAGAGGTCTTTGTAAAATATTCTTATCAACCTATTATTTGTTTAATTATAATGAAAAATCACCTAATTATGTTCCACCAACAGTTATTGGTGCTGACGGTGCTCCTGAAGCAAAATATAGTAAGTTTGATGGTTGGCATTTAATTAGTGAAAATTGACATGTGAAATGTAAAGCTCATTGGAAGAAGATTGAGAGGACTTTTCAATTTTTATCGGGTAGAGAGTCTAACTACATTGATGATCATGATATTATTGTTTTCAGTGATGCAACAGATGTTTTATTCATCAATAATATTGAAAATGTCAAGAAAGTATACGAAACTTACTATATCAAGGAAATTGCTAATATTGATTTGAAAGATAGTGAGAGAGATTGGCCTATTGTGTTTATTGCTGAAAAGAATAAGTGGCCACCAAATGATTTCATTCAAAATATGTTTACAGTAAGTGTTTCTAATAGAATTTACTAATTTTCTCGATTCATACTCTATTAGAAAACACCTGAGGAGGAGAATATGGTAGAAAAATACTACTATGACATTAATGGCTATAGAGTTAAGAGAAATTGTGCATCAGCAAATGATAGAATTTATTTAAATAGTGGACTTTACGTTGGAAGAAAACGTGATATTCGAAAGGCACTTTCCATTGGATTGAATGTGAAAAGAGGTGAACCAAAGGAAAGAATTGAAGATCAAGCGCTATTCCAATACATTTATGCCACCAATAAGTATCCAATTCTTATGGATTGTGAAAAGAAAATGTTTTACAGTCCATTCTCAGCTTGTGATACAATTGTTAGTGAGGAAGAGAAGAAGTGGTCGTGTTCTATTCGTGATGGTCAGGAGGAAACACCAGATAGTGTTGTCTACGTTCATTCAAATGGTGGATTTTGTTATTCACTTTGTAATTGTTTCACTTCAATGAAACAAAAAGGAATGTTCAAGAATTTAATGGAACAGTATCAGGACAAGTTGAGTTTCAAGTCGTATGATATTAATTCTAGAAAAGTGAGAAGTGTTTTGATGAAATACGCTTGTGGACACTTTGTTGATGAAGATTTCGCTTTGGATTCATGTAATACTCAACCTCCTGCTTAGATAAAAAGATTTGTTTGATAAAAGGAAGGGTGGTACGTGGATCGAACACGTGACCATCGGATGTCTGCTGCAAATGTCTTTGCAATCCGGTGCTCTACCGCTGAGCTAACCGCCCTTATGTTGTAGTCATAAAATATTAACTTATTGCTGTTAGCATTTATTAAGGTTAAATTAATAATTTGCTAATAGATGATTTTTCTTCTTGTTAACCATCATTCTCACTATTTTCCCAATCATGTAGACCTAGTAATTCTGCAATCTTTTCGTGTAATTAGATAATTAGGAAAAGCTATCATCTCACCATGCCATGGAGCATACAATTGTGGCTGGCCTGTTTTCCATTCCTTTTTCGAATAATAGTCGTATA